GGAAAAATGAAAGTAAAGGGGAAAACGAAAGAGAAGGGTAAAACAAAAGGGAAGGGTAAAACAAAAGGGAAAAGTAAAACAAAAGTGAGAGGGAAAGCGAAAGTGAAAGGGAAAACAAAAGGGAAGGGTAAAACAAAAGTGGATGGATTTCTGAAGAACGTACTTTTAAGGTTCGTAAGTAGTATTATATTACAAATCTTAAATTTTTTTTTTTTTTATTATTATGGAACAGTTTACTAATCGTTGTTACCTCTAGTTACATGTAGAGTTACAACTTACTACGCCAAAAGATCATGTGGAAGATTAGAATCTACTGTGACTGTGCCAAGCCGACCTAACCGCAGCCTATTTAGCCTATTATTTTTATTAGATTTATTATATTGATTATATTTAATATAATTGATATAATTATTTTATTTATTAGTATATTTAATTTATTTATTATATTTATGAATATTTTTATTTATAACTCCCGGATATCAGTATTCTCCTTCAACAATCATGTGATCAGCACAATCAGAATTTTATTTTTTTTATTAAGATCGCAAAATTAAAATTTATTAAAATAATAAAGAGATGATTCTAAAAATTTTATTATATTTCTGAACCAATTTTTATAACATTATACAAATGCTAAAGCAGACACAGGTTAAAATGCTAAAAATCGGCAAAAAAAATGGCGCGAAAAGCAGTGGCTATTCTTGGCTATTCTTGGCTATTCTTGGCTGTTTTTGGCTATTTACGAATTAACCTATACTATTTGTAAATAGTTTATACAAATTTGTGAATAGTTTATGCGATTTGCGCCATTTTTTTTGCCTATTTTTGATTATTTGACGTGTGAGAAAAAAAATCATCTTTATATGTTTTCTTTGTCATTGCAAATCTCGTCTTCTAAGTTAGGCTTATTTTTCAAAGGATAATTGCGTGAATCATGATACCATGACTTACATAACGAACATTGCCTTTTATTCCTCTTTTTTAACCCTTCTGCAGGTTCATCACAATGATTTGACTTAGCATATTTCATGGTATTGTTTTCAATTGCTGATAAATATCTTTTATTTGATGGACGACCTTTACCCTTATGTTATAGTGGATTTGAAATCATAGAAGTATTAATTTCTTGATTTGTATTTTGTTCAATATCGTCTAAATTTTCATTTCGTGTAAAAAGTACAAGTTTTTGCTATTCTATAAATCTTTGCAGAAGATCTTCAAAAATTTCACCAGAATTGTTTATGATTGCTAGATTTATAACTTTCTTACATAGCCCAAATCTATGTCCATAAAATGCTTTTTTTGAATTTTTAACAGGTGAAGCATAAACATTTTGTCCACGAATATTTTTTAATGCTTGAAAAGTTTCAGTTGAAAGTAATTCTTCTTTATTTTGAATTATACAAATAGATGATTCTTGCATTTCATTCATCAATATGAGACCTTCTTTAGAATACCAACGTGATGGTATTAATTTTATATTAAATAGTGCCTTTTTAGAATAAAACATCACGGCAAAAAAATGCCTACAAACAAAACCAGCGTAGATCAAATGGAGACATGTGCAATAATATGAACCATCACCAAGTAATACAATAAACTGTGAATGATTTGTTGTAGATTGAAGATGTTTCACTTCCCAGATTTCATCGATATAACTCCCAAAACAATCTTCTAAAGCCATATCAAGTAAAGTCTGCGGTTCTTCATAATCATCCTCTATAAAACCAACATCATGCTGATTTGATTTCTAAATTGATGATATAATGATGTTTTAGTTATTAATCAGTAAATTAAAGTGGTAAATAGTAGAACAAAATTGATTACCTGCTGAATAACATTTCTACTATCCTGTAATACTACTCTATAAAGTAGGCTCTCTAATATTTGTTTTCACTGTAAAGCCAATGAATTTGACGTAAGAAATCTCTTACAAACATCATTAATATCTTTAAAAATGGTATTAGAAACATGAGGAAGTCCTGCTAAAGGATTTATATTACAGAATTCTTGCAATTTTGCATATTTGACTTCGTCCTTTAGTCGTAATTCAATTCCTGTATGAAGTTGACATAATGAACTTCCTGAATTTGCTTCCAGTTTTATAACTTGATTCATGCTTTCAACACGTTGTGTTGAATGAGTATTTGCTGAAAAAGTGCATTTGGTGAATGCATATGCCCAACATTCTTTAGTTAGATATAATACACGTTCAAAATAACTTTGAACTTCTGGATATTTGTTCATTAGCTCCAGCCACCAAATATTAAAATCTAAAACCATAAATGAATTACGCATAGCATAAAAGTCTGTAATGAAAGAATTCCATTCATTGCGAAGCTTCTTTTTAAGTTTTTTAACCAAATTTTGTCAAATATGAAAAGCACAATATCATACAATTGTATTAGGATATTGATTGGCTATTGCAACCTGCATTGCAGGATCCGCATCAGTGAAAAGTATGACTGACTAAAGACCTCCTGTAGCATTCTTCGTTTATTCTAAAATCCATTCATATGTTGATATTGTTTCATCACAAATTACAGCTGTTGCTACTATTCGATTTCGATGATCAGAATCAATTACAATAAAAACACTTAAAGGCATCAAATATTTGTTTATTTTACATGTGTTGTCATTTATAATGACATCGTGAAATCTTTTCCAAAACCTTTTTTGATCAGGTGACATCCAAAAAATTTTGGTAAGCCTATTATCAATGCCTTCGAAATCTACTTTAAAATACCAATTAGGATCTTCCTGCTGTAATTTTATCAGACGATTAAGCAAAGTTATAGCATCATTTTTTATTTGAGCACTGTCCTTGAATTTTCTTATTGCATCATAAAGACTTTGACGATAGATATCTTGATTAGGAAACTTATTACGCAAGATTCTTTTCAAAACAGTAGCACCTAAATGACATTCTTGAACATAAAATCGAATTTCTTTTATAATATTATCAGGGATTTTATGAGATGATTGAGTAAATTGTTGAAGATCTTTATTAATATTCATTACATGATTGTGTTCTTCAATAAATTTGTTAACAAAAACCAAATTTGGACATTTACGATATGAGGCATTTAGTGTAAAATTACACTTAATACAAGCTGACTTTTTGTCTTGATTTTGTGTGGGATCTAATTTTTTTTTTGCTTCGTACTTGCCACCATGTCTGCATTTATATGTTTTTCGTGACCAAACACCTTCTTCTTTTTCAGCTCGAACAATCTTTGTTTCAAATTCCAATTGAGTAGAGTACTGGTTCAAACATTGTTCAAGTACTTCAAAGGAAGTAAATGATTGTCTATTGTAAAGAATTTTTAAGCAGCTGTCTTCAGGTTTATCATCAAAGCACTATTTTCAGATAAATTATCATTAATCTCAATAAAGGAGTCATCAAATACATTTTCATCAAGAGTAAGGTCAATTATCTAAAAAATATAAAAAGAATGATAAAAAAATGTAAATTTGTAAGTACGATTTCAATGGAAATTATTATAAACCAATTTTTCTCAACCCTAACCCTAAGTAATCTAAGTCAACGTTAATTTCAAAGGAATGAATTACTATAAACCAACTTTTCCTAACCCTAACCCTAAGTAACTCTAAGTCAACGTTAATTTCAAAGGAATGAATTATTATAAACCAACTTTTCCTAACACTAACCCTAATTAACTCTAAGTCAATGTTAATTTCAAGGAATGAATTATTTATTATAAACCAACTTTCCCTAACTCTAACCTTAAGTAACTCTAGATTAACGTTAACATCAAAGTTAATGACAACCTACCTCAGACATTTTTAAATCGGCTTTCTTCAATTTATAATAAAGTCGTGTAAAGAGTAAAATTAATGAAAAAAAAAATATTTTATTTAAAGAAGAGGAAGTATTTAGTTAATAATTTCAAATAAAAAGAAACAAATTGTTATTAAGAAGAGTGGAAAATTGATTTTGTAGGAATTGAAATTATATCATTATGATTGCAAAAATACGTGATCTAATAATATATCATGTGATAATTTGAGGAGGATACTAATATCCCCCGGTGTAGTGTACATATTTACTATATTTATTATATTAGTTATATTTATTATATTAGTTATATTTCTTATATTTATTATTATATCTATTATATTTATTATATCTGTATATGTAGTAACTTTTATATAAATAACGTTGGTATTTTCCTTCGTTATAAGTTAAGTTCGAATTAGTTCACCTTAGTTCTAAGGTTGCCTGCCGAAACTAAAAAGGAAATTCCGAAAGGTTTCGGCCAATCAAATCAAATGCCGAAAATGCCGAAATTAGGCCGAAACTCGGTCTTAATTTTGGCCAAAATTAAAATTCGGCCGAAATTATGATATTGTGTCACGTGACGTTACACAAATTTCCAAAAAAGGAAATTTTGGTTCCCAGTAAAATCGGAGAAATCGGTTTCACGAAGGTTACACAAATATCCATAAATGGAAATTTACGTGTCGATCATTATTCCGGCCAGAATTATAGTATTAATGTTGGCCAATAATTTCGGACAAATTTCGGCCTTTCGGTAAAAGTTTCGGCATTGTATAATTTCGGCAAATTTACTTTTAATTGCCTAAACTTTCGGTTTTAAAAAAGTTTCGGCCTTAGCCTAAACTACTTGATTTCGGCAAGCAACCTTACTTAGTTCCTATTAGTTCTTATTCTTGTAATTATAAAGTTCTATAATAAAGTATAAAGTTTTACACTATAAACGAACTCCCTATTTTAAACGTATCTTGTTTGATTGGATTTCAGTTATAGTTAAACATACTTAATCTCCCTGACTGCAAATCATAGTTAGGCTGAACCAATTTGATTATCTGTTTTACATTAGTTGTTTATAAAAATTCAGGGGAGGGGGGGAGGTCAAATAAAAAAAAAATTTTATGAAACCACGTGACTTTTATATATAAGTCACATGCAACCAATTTATTATTATTATTATTATTATTGTATAACGAAAAAAAAACTAATCAACATGATTGACCTTTTGCTTTTTCCTACTATTAACCTTATTTTCCAACCGTTTATAAAATGTTTTCCCATTTTCATTACAACTACTACATAATGGATATACTAACTTAAAATTTTCTTGTAAATTTTGAGGCACAGTTACAAAGTCATTATTCGCACCACACCAATAGCAGATAGGAATATTTCCTGCTTTTTTTGAGGTATAATAAAGCAATTCAATAGGCGAATCACAGGAAATTTGAACTCTAACAAAAACCTTTTGTGCTAAACTATGATCATCCGGAAAAATTGGGGATCCACAGGAATATGTGTAAGTTTGTAGTGCAGATTCTAAATCTTGTTTTTCTTGTTCTGTTAATTTTAATTCACTATAAAGGCATCGTGTTTTTCCACATGACTTACATTTTATATAACCCCTGATTTTGGCAGAAATAAGGATATTACTTGGTGCCAGCTCAGCTTTAGAATTTAAATTAATTAAAGAAGGACGGAATTTTTCTGTTGTAAATTTGCCATATAAATTTGCAAATGTTTCATAACGATCAGGATTATCTATTTAAAAAGTAATATTTTAATAATATTTTAGTAATATTTTATTGTTGAATATAAAATATCACAAAGAATACCTCGTGATGGTACTGGATCAGGCAAAAAATATAAATTCTGAAAGACATCAATTGGCATTCTGATGGGATAACAAACTTCGCAGGAAGGTTGATTACATTTTTTAATCTAAAAAATCTGAAAATATAAATATTTAAAATAAAACATTTTACATAAGGTAATTTTAATATTACCTGAAATGAATATGCTCTTTCTTGACAATGAGTTTTAATAAATTCTACTAGAGGCTTATGTTTTCGCAATTGTTGTTGAGTAGTTTCATCTTTAGTCAATGTGGAATCAATTCGCAATATGTTCTTAGTTTATGTAATAAATAAATTAAAAGTTATTAAAATAAAATATAAAATATCAGCCTGATTTAATTTATAAAAAAAATATTACCTTAAACATCTTGTTAATTTCCAAATTAGATGCAGGATTTTCTGTTTCAAATGCTTCATTTTTCCAAACCAAATGTTCTGTACGTTTACAAAGCAATTTTTGAACTGTTACAATACATTTTTCTAATTCTGATTTTAAGCATGGATTCTCTTTTGCTTTTCCTCGTATATCTTCTAATGTCTTTAGAGTTTCAAATTCATCTTCATATTCCTCGGGCATTTGTTCTCTCTTTATAGCAACACCTTGAAGCCCATAATTTATTACACTCATAATTCTTTCTGCGGGATTACACCAGCTGTGATGTGGAGCTGTTCTAACTGCAATTAGCATATTAAAATTACCTGCTAAAAACAAACATATTAGCGCTACTTGAACTGATCCAAATGTACATCTGTGATCAGGACCCCCGTCAGTATAAAGTGATAATATTGAAGGCAAGGGTTGGTTATGATACTGATGATTTATGAGATTAAAAAATTCTGTTGAATGCCTTAATGCGCTACTTGGTTGAAATACGGCATCTTTAAAGCTGACACACACTTTTCCATCATAAAAAGATTCAGATATATCACATGGTATATTAATAAATAAAGTAACAGATGGCGTTAATGACAACTTTGTGAAGTCATGATCTGCGGCTGTGATTTCTCCTTCGGCTAGTGCTAAAGTCTTTTTATTACGAACACCTGTAGATACTGGTACACTCTCGCCAATAGGCACTTTATGTTTATCGTCTGCTGAGATAAAACATGCATAATCTCGATATTTGATATTGAATTCATGTTCATATTTAAATAAAGTGCGACAATAATGTTCATCTTCACTGGATTTTCATAATAATCGTGATTGCACCTTGTATTTTACATTAAAATGCCCAGTATATTGTAAAGCCTTGGTAGTATATGCGTTAGATGGTGCAAAATTCAATCTTATCCACTCTTCTGATGGAATAAAGATATCACTTGGTAGAGGAGGTCCTTGATATATTGCATTTAAGCGAGTAATGATTCTATCTCGCAACTCTCGAATAGATATAGCATATGGAATATATAGAGTAGCACCTGTCTGACGTTCATTAACAACTGTATTATTGTGCTAAAATATAAATAAAAAAATAATTAATTTTATTATTAGGAATATTAGAATTTAGAAATACAAATTGGAAATTATTTAATAACCTCATTAAAATATCTGTTAAGTTCATCCCAAAATATATCAAATTTTGATCCTTGAAATCCATTATTAGTCCTTAAATCGATTATTATAGAATGATCTTCCAATAACATCATAAGACGTAATCTTTCTTCCATCTCTTTGCTTATTTTATCATTTGCCAATGAAGCATCACCAGTTAGATCATGATATAGCATTCTAAGTACTGGTTTTGAAAGATTGCGAACTAGATAATACTAAAAAAAATTTTGTTGAGTTTTTAATTAACAAAAAATTTTATTGTAAATTGATCATGTTTACCATACCTTTTGAAATATGTTTTTTCTCATTTGTCTTGTACAATATACTGGTATTATATCATTAATGCGAATGATCATCTGCGCTTTAAGAGTTTCATAATCTTCATTAATTTCGTTGGTATCAGGTTCTCTCCATATAAAATTTAGTTTCCCAAGATAATTACCATGAGGATATCTAAAAAATAATATTTTTAGTAAAATAATTTTTTGTAATATAAATTATTCACACGCCAACATGCAATTCTTAAATTATAATTTTCTTAAATTTTTAAAAATAAATAAACTTTACCTATATAATCCCGTAAGTACAGATAATTGAATATTATGAATAAAATCATGCTTTTTTATAGGATCATCTGGTACATATAAATTGAGATCAATAAAATCAAATAATTCTCTGTTCGTGAGATCAGAATCTAAACTATGATATCTTGAATCAATCTCCCTTTCATCACATTTAGAAATAAGCTGAACATTACAGTTAGTAGATGGTTCACGTGCTGGATTTTCTCTTTCATGAAGGGCTTTCATATTGTTATTAGTATTATCAAGATGATCAAAATATTTCTTCATCATGGATGTTAGTTCGAAAACATTTAATACAACTTCTTGCCAATAATCTTTAGATGCCCAAGGTTCAGCTAAAGAAAGCTCTATAGAATTAGCTAATTGAAAAAGTTCTAGGCGTGTAAGTTGTGATTTTTTTTTCTTCATTCTTTGATAGTATTCATTATAAACTCCATTTTGCTGATATACTGGAAGAGAGCTAAATAATAATGGAAGATGGCATCCTCTTGAACGTAATTTTTCTAAGTGTGGGTCTATATACCATATAGCCTTAGTTAAACGTTCAATAAATTTTTTTCCACAAGTGTTGTGATCATTTCCAGGCCAACCAACACACATACTCTGAAAAAGTTGAATAATATGATTATATAATAATATATCGCGTATATCTTCACGTTTTTGTGCTGGAAGTTGATATCTAAAATCCATTAACCTTGTAAAGGCATTAAGGATATGTATTTGTGATAAAGGTACAACAAAATCACACAGAAGAAGGATATACTTGAGATATATAAATTCCAATGTTTTCATTAGTAAAAGTTTACCTTGTAACCCTTCTTGCACTGGTACCCAAGGCCCAGTTTCTGTTTTTCTAACTTCCACACGCACATTTTGGTGAAAGTAGTTTCCAGAAAAAACTGAATCAAATAAGGTTGAAAATAAACTGCTTTCTTCTACTTCTTTTACTAAAGGTCCAGTTATAATTTTAGCATCCTCATTTACTTGAACAATTATAAACATTTTTTTATACAATGTTGTGTCATGTAAAACAAAATGCCAAGTGGATATTTTGAAAAACGCGACGTGCATCTTTGCATTTTTTGCATTTTCGTTAACAAAGAAAATTAAAGTTTAAGCAATATGAAGATCAATGAATATATCATATGATATTACAAATGCTTTTTATTGGCTGAAATTTTTGATCACATGAGTATTTTTTTTTCAATTTTTTAAGAAATTCGGGGAGGGGGGAAATGTAAAACAGGTAATTAAATTGGTTTAGCCTTAATCTATTCAACGTACCAAATCAGTTAACACCGTTCCTTTTTTTTATAGGTTCAGATGAACTTCTGACGAATGGAAAACCAAGATTTGTAAGTACGAGTACAAATCTTGGTTTTCTTCTTTGCTGAAACCTCTAATTTTTTTAAAATATTTTTATAATATAGTTATATAATAGTATGATATAATAACAATATTAAAACAATAAAAATAAAGATAATTTAAAAAACGGTGTCAAAATAAAATGCTTAAACAACATAAAAACAATATGATAAAAAGAATAATGAAAAAAAATTATTATTTTATGTTAATTGCAATACTAATACAATACTAATATAATACTAATACAATACTTTTGTAAATTGTTATTTATAAAATATTGTATAAATATATATATATTTTTTACAATATCTTTATAATATTATTTTATGATATTTTTTTTTGTCCGTCCAATTTTTTCTCAGATCACAGATCAGTCACGAATAGTATTATAAAAATAATTATCATATGGGCATTATACGATCTTTTTTTTAAAAAATCAATAATGATTACCGCTTCCATATTTTTTTTTTAACTTTTGTAAATTGTGGCAAATTCGGTATAATTAATCTTGGAGGCAAAACATTATTACTTGGACAAAAAAAAATGGAATAAAAACTTTATTAAGGACGTCAATGATTTGAACCAATAAGTTAAAAGTCATTAAAGTTATTAATAAATTTACAAATTTATATTAATGAACTTTTCTTTATTACAAACGATCTTTAATATACAAAGTGCGAAAAAAAATTTATTTTATGGAGTATCCTGTAAAAAATGTTGTTGTTCTGTGTTTTAAATTCCAAGGTACGTAATGAATGAATTTATTTATTTCCATATTTTTTTCCATGAATGTATCATTTTCACTAAAAATTTTTTATAGAGTGGTAACCGCAATTGCGATTTATCTTTATGAAAATTATAATTCTGAAGAAAAATTACCAAAGAATGATCCTAAATTGAGAAATCAAGTTATTCAAGTTATTCAAGTTATTCAATGGGTAAATATTTTATTCGCACAAAAAATTTGATTAAAATGAGAAATGAACTATGGGCTTCTAACGAATGGAGAACCAAGATTCATAAGAATCTTGGTTTTTATTTATTTTTATTATTATAGAACGGTTTACTAACCGTTCTTTTCTTTTTTATAGGTTCAGTATCTCAGAAAGGCTTCTGAAGAATGGAAAAATCTAAAGTTTCGTAAGTATGAGTACGAATCTTTTGGGGTTTTTTTATTTTTTAATATTATAAGAATGTGTAAAAAATATAAATTTCCCTTCATAAAAAATTTTTATTACATAAATAAGATTCTAATACTGTAATTGAGCGTTCTATATTGAAAAGCATTTGGAAGTGAAAGAATAAGGTGGCTCGTTTTGAAGATTCTGAAGACTAATTAATTTGATTAAAGTAGAAATTTGATTCATTTGTTTTTCATTTTATTTTTCTGTAATACTAAAATTTTTTATTTATTTATTAATACTTAAGAAAAACTAAAATTGGATTTGCATTTTTACAATAAAATGTCGCAACTAACAATAAAAATATTATTTACTATTCTACTTATTGCGCTTTTCAAAATTGTGCTACCCCCTGCAGGTCATCTAATAAAAAAGATTATGAGATTATGATTATAGGACGATTACTGGACAAAAACTGGACAATTTTGTCTGGTAATTGTCCTGTAATTGTCCTATAATCGTCCTATAATCATAATCACTCAGTAATTGTCCAGTAATTGTCCAGTTATTATCCTGTAATCATAATCATCAAGTAATTATAACGTATACAGAATTCTGAAAACTGCGATAAAATATATTACATTATTATTTACATTAAATTTTACATTAAAATATAAAAACATTATTTCCTATTTACTGTATTAAAAATAAACCAAAAATACTTTCTAGCGTATTATGGGAAGAATCAGCAATAAAACAACATAATATAGAGTTAATAAAATTGATCTATAACAAAATATTTGAAAACCCGAATAATAATATTCACTTATTATCACTGTAATGTAAAAATATGCCACATTCAACCCAAAATATATTTTTTTAAAAGAAATACAACGTTTGATGTCTTAATAATGAAGCTGTGAGGGGGGATACGTATTTATAAAACAGTCTAATAATCAAAACTAAAATCCATCTCATTTGGTTGTTGAATTTCAACGCCATTATTCTCATATGCTTGTTTGATACTTTGAACCCGATCGTATACTGAAGACATTTTAAATTACTTATATCTGTTGTCCGCCTCATTATATGAGATTATTTCATTACTTACTACAATTTCAAACCAGATTTCGAAATTCTGGCATCCATTGATAGTACTGGTAAAAAAACAAGGCGTAAGGGTGTTAATAGCATCTAGCACGTTCCACTTAGTTCTAATGGCATTTAGAACTCTTTCAATGCGAAATCCTCATTGTAAATTTAATGTTAAATCCTTTTCATTTAATTGTCCATTACTCCTCTTTAAAATTTTTTTTGTAACTTGGGATTTAATAGTTTGACCTTGCTTATGAGGTTTTAATGCACAAAGTAATTCCAATGTTCTGTAAGATTGCACCATGGAAACAAGAAATCTGAGCTGATATCTCTGAGCAACTTCTTGAGAAATTGAGTCCTTTATCAAACTATTGATTGAATGCCAGACGTGAGCTGATAAACTATTAATAGCTGCTTTCAACATAGAAATTCTTTTGCCTTCATTGACAGATAAAAATAATTGTAATGAATAGCTTGGCGTATTTAATATAGCTTCTACAGATGTTTGTCTGTCTGAAAGGTATCCAAAATCATTATTAGTCACAATTTCAATAATGGATATTGGTGTGCCAGAAGGAGTCCTTTTAGTTTTATACAAATCTACTGAAAGAGCACCCTTAAAAGTAGAAAATTTGTCCTTATGATTAATAAAATTTAAGTAATCAATAAGTCGATTCCTATAATTCCCAGAATGTTTAAATATTAAATTATCTCTTATTAGAGGATTTTCAGGTAGTTTTTCGATACATCAGCAGTTTAACAAATTTGTCAAAATATTCAACTCTTATTCTGAGATCTCTAGCTTTTTGTCTTTCTGAACCTATCTGACTAAAATTGTATGTAATTGAAATCTCGTTAACTTTCGTCTCTACAATTCTAAGATCACTAACTGATCGAATGTGCAAAATTCCATCTGATTTCGTATATTACATCAACCCGGTTTCAACGTTCATTGTAAATGACTTAATATTAGTTTCTTTTAGTATGCTCCAGAGTGCGAACAAGACGTTGAATACATTTGTATTCAACTTATCAGTAACTGTTTCCGCAAGTTTAGCATTATCTAAAATTTAACAAATTATTAATGACCCAACTGAGTAAAATCTTTAATACTAATATTATATATACTGTTATCCTGTCAACGATTAAAGCCGACTGAAAAACTTTAACGCTTTAACAGGTTAACTGGAGTTTAACTTAATAGGAGAGTCTTAAGTTGATCACAAATAATCACGTGAAATAACATTGTTAAAGAAAATAGGTTTTTATTAAAATAATGTAAAATTTTAGATATAACGAAAAATATAGATAATCTCTTGGTTGTGAAATTAACTATCTTGAATTATACTACTGGGAATAATACTCTTTTCATATAACTCAAAAACTACAATACAATTCTTAACTAATTAACTGACCTCCTCCTACTTGGTAAAATCCTATCACTATTTATAATAAAATAAAAATCAAGAATATTTGATAAAATAAATAAATCAAATATAAAAAATAAATAAAATAAATAAAATAAAATAAATAAATAAAATAAATAAAATAAAATAAATAAATAAAATAAAATAAATATATCAAATAAATAATATATAACAAATAAAATAAATAAAATTAATAAAATAAATAAATCAAATATATCA